GGTTTTTATAGACCCCATATCCATGCCCCTCAATATCCGAATGCCGGCAAGGGTCTAGATATGGGACTTTTGGAGTGGCTTACAACGTTTACAACCTTTCCGACGGAAGTGAAATTCAAAGATCTTGATTTTGCTGCGCACGCATATAAGAGAGTCGTGGTAAGTGAAATAAAAATATCATTGAATCAGCACGTAAATCAGCAACTTAGCTAAATACGTTTCGAATGGCCGTTACCGTCCTCCGTTTGCTTTGAGATTTAAATAGGGTCGGGTTGAACAATATTTAAGTTGACTATTCAATTCCCTATTATTTCAAATGAGCCGGTAAAAGTAAAAAATAGAAATAATATTGTGTTTCTAGAATGCATTTTCTCATTTCTTATTTGTTACTAGGAAGAAATCGCAGGCGGCGGGGGATGTTTGAATTTCTTATAGTGTTATAAATTGCTTTCGGAATGACATAATTCTGATCAAAGAGAAAATGTAAGCGTCACGTTTCAAGCGTGTAATAATATGAGTCATTTATGAACAAGGTTTTAAGAATGAAACACAATGATCAAAATAGACGCATAAATCTTATTCTTATTTTAGAGTCGCGTGCTACGGAATGGGACAACAACCGCTTGTTACTACGCAACAATTGACACCGACGCTACTGTGTTGCTATGTGATATAATAAGTAAGTCTACATATTACTTTAAAGTTTGAAACTTTTGCTTGTTTTGCCATTATCATCATTGTAATTTTGTACAGTTACAATCATTTTTACTAGCAGAGTAGACGGACAAATGAATAATCGACGGACAAACGAATAATCGATTTGTGAGCCAGCATGCATTGCACGCCTGTAAAGATATAATATGCTTAGTATGTTATTGCGTAAACGTGGTCAACTTTACTTGTATTAAGGATGCCTCTAGAAAAAATCATAATTATAATCATTTAATATTCTTATACTCATAACATATTTGGGCCTTTTCTAGATGAACTTGGACAGAGGGCGCTGGTAGGCAAAGTAAATATGAATCAAAATTCACCAGATTATTATGTCGAAGGTTCAGTAGACGAGTCAGTATCAGAGACGAGAAGGTAACCTGTCTTAAATATCGGTCTATCTACTATTGATATATGCATGTTCAGAATTAATTATGCACAGACATGGCATAAAATGTGCGTGCACTAAATAAGATGATATATGATCTGCCTACTTTTGACTATGTGCATACATGTACAATGTCTTGTATAGAAATAATAGGATACTGTTTTTTGTCTTACGTAGTAGATTAAGCAAAGAAAAAAACACGATTAAATAATATTATTGACGCCTTTTTCAATATTCTTTTTTAAATTAAGATGTCAGTAATATTGGATTTACATATTTAACCCAATTAAATCGGTACTTACCGTTTACCTGAAATTTTGTTTCATTTTTTTACATTTAAGCATCTGCAGGCCAGTGTCTTTAATTTAGATCTATATATACGTATTGTATTTAAATAATGGTTGTTTAGGATATAAAATTTCCATAAGGTATTCCATATTAAGGCATACATTCCACTCTTTCAAAACTTTATACACTATATAATATATGTTATTTAAAATGAGTTGGATGGAAATTGACAGTAATCATTGAAAAATATTTTGTTCACCATAATTATGATAGTTTTCCTAATCTATTATCAAAATTACTTTCCTTCTGCAGGTACATCGAAACAATACAAAAGAAAGCGGTAAGTGTTTCATAGTTACCCGTAGTGACGTCATGATGCTGTTTCATTCAATTGTTATACTCTCATTCCAATCGGAATATCTCGACCATTATCAACGATAATTCTTATCCGAAGTATGACGGAAAGTGCCGAGAAGATGCGATTGCTCCTCAGTCTTATAATTAAGTGTTATGGAGACGCAATTAAAATGGCTCTAGATTTCCTAAGGGAGTCAAATAATTTCCCGACTTCAGACAGCAGCAAGTACACGGTGATAGGGCGTTTACACGGTGATAGGGCGATTACCACAACTTTTCCGCGCAACGTCAAAATACCATTCCCTTCTGACGCGAGGACAACCGGTATATTTCTGGACAAAATATTAATGGCGGGATAAAACAAATTCCAGGTTATAGCTTACAAAATATCTTACTGCTGGACATTGCACGATTATTCCAATTGTTTAAGTAATTCCATCGAATTTTTTGAAGACAATTCAATCGTTAATTCTAGCACAATACAAATTCACAAAAAAAAACACATACTTCGAAAGAAATAGTGTTTACAAAAGATCGTGTGTACCTCAACATGACTCGTACCTGTCACAAAAAACGTGTGTTATAACGAACGATGTCTTTGTTCTAATGACCTAACGAGCTCGTATATTTATTATGGGTTAACCCTAAGTTCAAGTTCCATACAAAATTGTGTGTTTCTATCGTAAATTTCAGGGAATATATGTTGAAAAAAGGCCTTTACTGGACCCGAATATTGGGAGCACCGTACAACACTGAATTCAAACACCGCAATCTTTTTTCTGTTAGACCGATAAATACTGGCCACCGTCTACTTTTTGAATTATGCAATCTTCATACAAATATGTTTCATTTGATGAAAGATTGTTTACTTTGCTGTTACTTTATGTTGCTGTTATCATACGTTATGTTATGGAAAATTTCAGAAGGTCTGATCTGTGTTAATACTACCAGTTATAGATATTAAAGTGCAATGGTATCTTTATATAGATAAGGATGTCTTTTCCTTTTCGAATTTAAAAAACTGATAAACCCACATGGAAAGATTGAAGTTCTTGGCAGACTATACCATCTAACAACATCGAGAAAAAAAGGAATGAAATATTTTTAATGGGAATTTCTTATTGCATACTAATTTGATAAAGTTGCAAAAAGTCATAACAATAAATTTTCATGATGTAGTTTTTGCAGGAACCCGGGCAATATTTCCATAATCTCTTCAGTCATGGTCTCCAATGTGCTTTTAATTAAACAATCTTTTTGGCGAAAGTTTGACTTCATATTATTTTTCTAATGTGGTGCGTTTTTAAGCAATATCGTCCTGAAATACAGGGAGGCGCTGATCCATTGGCGTACTGCTGATATCAAAAGACTTAGTTGGGCGCTCTCCAGTTGCTGCAGTATCTTCTGGAAGTATATGCAGCTTTGCAAATTTTCGCACGTTGCTTTGGCTTGTTCAGACATAGGTTTGAACGTCTTCTTTTTCTGAAAGCCAACATTAATATCAAAAATAAACGGTGCTAAAAAAAACAGAAAAATGCAGTGATTTTAAGGAGGAAGAATGCGGTGCCCTAATCTTATGATTGACAAAGTTGTGCGGTGCCTTAAAAATAACACACGTGGAAACATAAAAATCGTACCAAATAATACAAAAAACGGGTTATTTATGTATTGTAACTTGTTCATACCGACAACAATGTACAAATTTATATTGTATTTTGGCCAGTTATATGAACTGAACGGACTAGAAATACGTTATATTTCGTAATCAAAGCAAGATTTTTTTTTCAGTATGCCCTAAATGTTTTTCACTATCCTGACTTAATTAATGAAGCGTTTTGCATGTAGTAAGGATAAATAAGTTTCTAAATTAAATGGCACATTCGATGAAAAAGAAAAAATGATGATTTTACCTTGTTTTGAGCAAATTATCTGCTGTTTTCGTCTCGGTTACAGACTTGCTGTCCATTTTGTACCACAGAAATATACGGTGTCTCGGACAGAAGTAAGATATTTTGACGTTGCGCGGAAAAGTTGTGGTAATCGCCCTATCACCGTGGTTTACCACAACTTTTCCGGTCAGAAGTATGATATTTTACGTTGCGTGGAAAAGTTGTGGTAAACGCCCTATCACCATCAAATTTCTGGAAACTACGGTAGTTAGATAGTACTGTTACCTTACAGGAAAGAAATCCTGTTGGATTTGAACCCCTTGAGGCGAGCGGAAATTAGTTAACCGCTGTAAACCGTAACCACGTGATCACAAAACCCCCACTGAATATCGAAATGTTGAAGTATCTTTTTTAAAGAATGAACAGAAATCTTCACCAACATTTTTTATTTGAAAGACCCTGATAATACTAACAAAATAATACATGTATTTAAATCAAGCAACAATTTCACGATTTTCCATAAATGTTTAATCTAATAATACTAAGGACTACATAAAATCTAAAAAGGACACATTCATAATCTAACTATCAGTGAATAAAATGCTTTATTTTCAGTATGACAATATAACTCCGGTGATAACTCCGCGGTTCGCAGTATCATGTTGTGAGACCTTAATGAAAAAGCTCGGTGATCTTGCTGCGGAGTACAACATTCCTGTTCAGGTAACTGTAGAAAACTTGACATCATAATAAAGATATTTGAAATTTAATTCTTACATTGCGTATGTATGATAATATTTTGACATATATATATAGCCATTAAATTGCCGCTAACTATCGACGATAACACGAGTTGCCTTAACTGGGATTTGAGCCCCAGACCTCTCGCTTCCTAAACGAGCATTTATATAATATAAGTTATAATAATACACCCTGAAGCAAACCACATTATTCTTAAATAGGGTTGTAATTGAGATATTTTGTTCACGGTAAACCTGTTGTTTAACACTGATGTAAATAATCATGGAGCTTAATACATGTAATATAAGCATGTATATCTGTGAAATAATTTAGCAAAAGTTTTCTCACATGTACATAATATTTCACTACTCTTTGTGTAATCAGGGTCTTTCAAAAAGAAAATGCTTTTCTATTTGAAAGACCCTGAAAGACGCGCAAAAGTGTTTGCTTAAACAAATAAGACCCTTACTTATAGTAGAAATTGATTATCTTTCGTCGACTGCCTAAGCTCGTCCCTGTCCTAGTGTCAACATCATTACTTTATTTTTTAGAAAGTCTTAATAACATTTAGGCGAAGCTTTACGGAAATAGCCGAGCAATTTTCATTGATTAAAGTGATATTCATCCGCGTAACAAAATTGTTTGAAAATATTACCAGTAATTTGCGGAAATGTTAAAGAATTACACAATATTAGAAATCTTCGACCAATCGGGAACTATTCGGCGTTCTATCTCTTAAAAAATATTTAACGGCACTTGAATGCGCAATCTCCACGCTACGGCCAGTAACACAAATCGCGTGGTAATGGTCTTATCACATGATTGTGTAAAGATGGCGGATAAAATAATCGTTGAACAATTGTTTTATCAGTAATTAACAACGATATTATATATAGGTTGATCTCTGGTGTCAAATCTATCGATATGATGTAAAAAAAAGTGTAAAATCGAAATTAATTTTTAGTTGAATGATTTCTCTTTCGGTGCGATATTAAATTAAAAAAAAAATATTTTCATAATATTTATGTTTCTAAAATTTTTTTTTTTTATTTTAGTTCACATCAAAACTGTGTTTACATTTTACAATTAATATCAAAATTGAAAACGGCAGAGATCTAATCCTGTAAGTGGAGATCACTGCGTGGGAGATTGTTAAATGCGTTCTACAGCTGTGCTCAACTTTCCACATAACGTGTATCAGCTTTTATCGCTATGAAAATGCAGGGCAGATATCGGCTTTCTTCCGCTATAAAATTTCAAACGCACATATTTCCACGATCAACCGCTTAACGATTATATTTCTGCGACAATTCCAAAGGACAGATATTGCATGACGTTATATCGTGCATTATTGCCATTAAATTGATCAACATTTATTACGATATCACATGCCATTCCATTAACATATACTTATCAAACTTGTGCATTACAATGAAATTGTTTTTTTATCAACATTTTCAGACACATATTTGCGAAACAAAACCGGAAGTTGAATATGTGGCACAGCTGTACCCCGACTCCAAAAATTATGCGACGGTTTATGACAAGGCTGGTCTGTTAACAGATAAGGTAAACAACAAATATATCGAAACATAGAGCTGTCATCGATAGAGACGATATCGATATATCGTTGGTGTTTTTCTGTCGATTAATAATCGATACACATTTGAAAAATTGAGAATTTTCATTAAATATAAGTCTATAAATTATGATAATTTACACAAAACATATACATTGGACAAAAGCAGGTAGCCATGTCTAACACTAATCTATTGTTATAATCATAATGACACATTTCATAGCAGTGATGAAAAAAGTGAGAAGAAAAACAAACTAAGCGCATTTATAAACAGGGCACCACATTTTTGTATGAACAGAACATGTATTTTACTAAAATCATTAAACTGGTATGAAAGTGAATTATATACAAGAAATAAGAAGTAATTATCGATATATATATTATCGATGTATATCTACGAAAGACCGGTAGGATCATTTCAATGTCATGAATTCTCGATTTCATCTTCATGAATTCACAATTTTAACTTCCTGAAGTCCCGTTTTCAACATACGAAATTCACGAATTCACGATTTCAACTTCATGAATTCCCGATTTCAAATTCAGGAATTCATGATTTTATCTTCACGAATTCAACTTCGTGAAATCACGATTTCAACTTCACGAATTCACGATTTTCAATTTTATGAATTCACGATTTCAACTTCACGAATACACGATTTCAACTTCATGAATTCATAAAGTTGAAATGTGCCCACCTGTCTTTCGTATATATCGGTGAATCGCTGATATATGTCACCCTATATTGATGTTTTTCCTCAATATATTTTGCACTGAATATAATAAACATAATTGAAACGAATGATTTATTTCGGCTGTGGACTGAATTTAAAGCTTAAATGAGATTTGTTTAAGATTTTTAACTTGATTTTAATTTGTATCTTATGAAATATAAATCAAAATTGCTTTTATAGCAGTATATTATAACCCATAGTCTGAAAAATTATCAAGCAGTATTTTTCAACTATCAACTTGTTATTTAATAAAACAGTACAATCTCTGCAGTGCAACACCCTTATGTGTTCTGTAAGAGGCGTTACCTTAGAGTAGTTAACATTATTGTGAAGTCACACCTCAGAAAATGAATATTGTTTAGTTTGAACATATTTATTTTAACACGATTGCGAACCCAGTTCTTGCAACTTAAATTGCACCAATATTAATCACGTTCGAGTCCGCTTCCTGGAACTAACCAGTTCTGGTTTCATTATGAGAAATCATGGTCGTGAGTCGAGTAGGGCTCGAACCTATTATTCCTGGGTTGAGAGGCAATAACGTTAACCACTAAGCCAGAGCTGCCTTGGATGTTATCGCTCTACTGAGGGCTAGTATATAGAGGTTACACTGTAGATGTAATAACCTGATTAAAAGTATTTTCTTTATTGTGGAAAATTTCCATCGCCTTCACATTTTTTTCTATGCATTTTTTTGTGTAAAAATATCATCATTTTTACACCATTTACATATCAAACTAGTTTACAATATATTTTATCTTATTATTTGTACAGACAATTCTTGCACATTGTATCTACCTTACAAAAGAAGAAATAGATCTCATCACAGAAAGAGGCAGTTCTGTATCTCACTGCCCAAACTCTAATCTTTCGTAAGTTCATTTTACAGTTTTTGTAGATTTTCTGATGTTTTACTATAATTTGCATCAATTATAAGGGTTATGTCGTATATATTTCCATTTTGTATACATTTAAAATTTTCTGCTGGAGGGAGAACTCTCCATGAACCATTTTAAGTACAAGCCGACCCCTAAGCTGAACTTAACTACTAGAACCTTAATCATTAACCTGCTAGAACAGGAATTGATTAGCCTTCATCAGAAGTATTTTTTCCAATTTCCAATTTTATTGCATGAAACATTATACATGTACAATGTTTATAGCAGATAAACAATATAAACATATATACTTGTCCGATGGATAAGACATGAGGTAAACAATTAACAAGAGCTGAACAAACAGACAAAGAGAAGAATTTCAATACAATATTTTCAAAATATGTTACCTTAAACAACGCGAATTTTATTTGCAAAAAAATGAATTTTGCTAAATTATATAAAGTATTTTTGATGAAGAACACATGATATTTTCAAATTTGTTTACAGAAGGCCAGTGACAATAACTTTTAACAAATTTACTTCTACATGTTCTAAGGGTTCTATATTTTGGAGAAACTAGTTAAAAGTGATTTTCTGTTTCAATAGATTGCATGTTACAAGACTTACATCACAAGTACAAAATCGGGAAACAGGCTTCCAACAATTATAGAGACTATTTCCCGGCTCTGTACGGTTTGTAGCTCATTTGATAACACTTTGATATTGAAATCCCTTAGACTTTAAATAGACTGTTCTTAATCTAAAGCAAAGCAAATCCATTTAACGAATGAAGTAGATTAAAGTAAAAATCGACCCAACCTCCTTGCCGCAATCGAAAGCATGTGCATCGAAGTCGGCGCCCTCAAACAGATGATTTATGATTTATTTTTATGTCTTACAGTTTAAGGAGTGGTCTTTTAGATGTACAGAATCTACTCAAGCACGGCATTCAAGTTGGACTTGGAACTGGTAAGAAAAATCGTTGCTTCAAAATCAATTATCCGAAATAAAAGGGAAAAGCCGATGACCGATGTTTAACGATTGTTTCATCCACAGACTATGCCTTATCCTAGTGTTACAATTGGAAAATCTGTCAACTAATTTGGAAAAAAAACTGTAAACACTGGGAAGGTCAAATAAAAAAAAGTCAAGCAATTAACCTTAGTTGAAGTTTTAAAGAATAAAGAATAAAACACCAATATGCCGTTTGATTTGTCCTTTGTCTGATGCATTTCTCATCCCTTTCCGTCAAACTTTGGACAACGGCTTTAAGAATTATTAGTAACTGACAAATTGTTTTGAGTCATAACTTCAGCGCAATTTCCAAAATTAACCAATACAGAATCTTAAAATTGTCTGTGGTTTGAGAGATATATGCAAGGTACATAACATTCATTCCAAAAAAACTGTGGTAGTTATTAAGCATTAAATGTAAAGAAAAAAGCACGGGTAATGGGTTTTTGTTATCATTCGAATATTACATTGTACCTATCCTATTTCAGTAAAATAATGTGGTCAATGAATTTGTAGTACATGATTGTGTACCAACATAATAAAAATGTCATTTATTTATTTGAAGATGAAAGTTTTATAGCAACATGAGTTGAATTTTAATAACAATAATATTATTTACAGATGTATCCGGAGGTTATCATCCATCCATTATTGACGCCATTCGGGTAGCGGTGCATGTGTCAAATGCACACGCTATAACAAGTACAAATGGTTATACGCCACTATCTATGAGAGACGCATTTAAGTTAGCGACATTGGGCGGCGCTCAAGGTATGATCTAAATTTTATTACCCGGTGAACGTACGATTAATAAAAAGTATATTTTACTTGTCAAATAAATGAGGAACTGTGTGACCTTGTTAGAAATTATCGTAATATAAAGTTATAAAGTTTAGATACATTTTGTATTATAGTGGCATGCCCCCGGACCCATGCTTATTTTCACGAATTGTATTTAAAGATACTGTCAAGTGAAAAAAAGAAAATAATTTACACATTGCAAATGACATTTAATCTCGAAAAGTACTCAAAAATAAGGGTCAAAATATCCAAAAGAAAGAAGACAAGAAAAATAATTACGCAAGTCACTTACTCAATTATGGTGATAAATACTGCAAAAATCAGTCGCGTTTTGTATTAATCATATAAATTATTTCTTGAATTGTGAATATTTTTACTTTTCTTAAAGTCTAAATACATTTTTCTCAAGGTTGATTATCTTGAAACATTGGCTCATCTGGAGAGGTGCAGCTTTAATATTAAAATGTCGTTGTCATCGTCATGTAATTCAATCTTTGCTCTAACTTGATATTTGAAATAAAACTAAGTAGGGCAGTGAATTCATTCAACAAATTTACTATCTAGTTAAAACATATATTTGATATTAATGGACAGTTTGATATATACAACATCAGACCTGTCATGAACAGTTTAGATTGATATCTTTGTAACACGTGGGGTCTTCCTTTTCCTTTAATTAAGATATTGTAATTGTTATTTTATTATATGAATAATTATTATAATCGTCGTCATCGTCATTATTATTATTATTATTATTTAAATGATATTTGAACAAACAGCGTTGAGTAGAATATAATGTTGCATTACTGAATTTAACCACTCGCCTACGACAGCGCAAACTACAACAGTACTCACATAGCACTTAATTAAAATGATGGTGAACAATGGGTACCTTACTTATCTAATCGCTTTAATTTCAAGGCCGTCGTCGATGGTCCGGCCGGTCCGGCCTTGGCCGGACCAATATTCTGGCCAAAATTGAAAAAAAAAATGAAAAAAAAAAAGAAAAAAAAAGAAGAAAAAACGCATCGCTGATTAGCGATTTGACACTTAACTAGCCCCTTATGCAAATTGCGCGGTAATATACAAACATGACGCGAAGGAACAACTGTACACTGTTTATTGACCAGGTACATGTCGGTGTCCCCCAAAGTCAAGTGTGAAATTATCTTAATTGGCATTAATTGACATCGACGTGGCTTCCGACAGTTCACCGTATATATATGTTTATTCAAAATAGTAACATCACAATTCTTTAAATTTTACCTCTGTTCACATACAAGTATCTTAATATGAATAGTTTAAGATAGTAAAATATCATGATGTTTGACACAATTCCATCGGAACCAAATCAACCAAAATCATTTTCGTTTCCGAAACGAACATTTGGTGAGTACATTTTTTCATCAATGTTATGTATATTATGATATAGCAAGAAAAAGAAAAAAGTGCATGAGATTTGCAATATGCATTATGAGTATCTTAAACTAGTATGCCTGAATTCTCCGAGAGCTTGATATCATTGTTTTCGCAACTCTGTGAAATAAATTCAGTAATAAACTCATTCAATTTACTCTTTAACATAACGAAATTAAACTCAGTTTAAAAGGGGAACACTTCCATATGAGGATAAATTAAATTGAATAAAGACATATATCATTTCAGACTCATATATTTCAAACTCATTTCACAATCATATTTCTACTTTCTAAATATTTACTAACGGAAAAAGGAACATTTTATTAAGATAAATCATATCAATTTATTGGTATATTTGTCATACTGCTTACTATTAAGAACATATTCTAAATTTTCATACATTAAAATATGTGTTTCTTTTAATGTAGGAAAAAAAGCTCCCGTTCAGAGATCTTTCCAAAGCAGTTGGTTCAACACCCGAAAATGGCTGCATTACGACGAGTCCCGTGACCTTGCGTTCTGTTACGTGTGCATAGTAGCTAAACGAGATGGTAAGCTACAATCAACAAGTTTCATTGTCAGCATCCGAGGGCCAGCGACTAGCAAAGCGGACTCTAGATAGCTTGATAGACATGAGGTCAGACGACAGTTTTGATTCTTTTTGGATTAAAGTTCAAAGTGAGAGTGATCGAGTCGATGTTAACGATCCAAATGTTCCCCGGAAGAGAAAGGCGCCCACACGATTCGAGATTGGGAACGGTGTTGGCTACCACCCCGTTACAGTGCAGGATGTGTTCCGCCCTAAGTACTTTGAAGCAATTGATCTTGCCATGGCCAGTGTTAAAGAGAGATTTGACCAACCGGGATATCGCGTACTTCAGAACGTGGAGGATTTACTTATTAAGGCCGCACAACCTTTGAAGACCGATTACACTAGAGAACTTGGTTTTGTTTGTGATTTCTATGGAAATGATATTAACCGAGACATGTTAGAGGTGCAGCTTCAGCTGCTACGTTCACATTTTGACAAATCAGAAAATAGTGCTATTACTCTACCTGATGTTTTGAAATTTGTGTCAGAACAGTCGGTGCTAGAACGAGCACTGTTCTCTGAGATCGTTGTGTTGCTTAAGATTTTGTTAGTAATGCCTGCTACTAATGCTACCAGTGAAAGGTCATTCTCGGCGCTCAGAAGAATAAAGACATACCTGAGATCGACAATGTCTCAAGTACGCTTGAACAATCTAATGGTGTTACATGTTCATAAGTACAGGACAGATTCACTCAACTTACGTGTAATTGCCGATGAGTTCATTACCACTAGAGAACGACGGCGATGTGTTTTTGGGAAATTTACATAGAATGAGACTCTTTGTTGTGTAAGATGATTGTGAACAAAATACAAGTTACTGCTAAACAAAAGGTGGTTATTGTTGACTCATAATGTGCTATTCTTCCATCATGTCATCGATTGTTATTTAAGCTTATACCATTGTGTGATTTATGTTAAACAATAATCCTAGTACTGTAATATTTCTTGTATTTGTTTATTTATAATTATCAGATAAAATACATCTAAAGAATTATAACAACATCAGTTATTGTTTTCTTTTCATTTGCCAAATATCAATTACATGTATTCATCTTTTATGTACACCTATCCGTCCTTCACGACGCACTTAAATCTGTTAAAAATCGTTGACATATTACTATAACTTGTACTAGCGACAGGCTGTAAACTGTGCCAAATATGCGGGAAAACGGCCCTGAGAGCATCCTAGAATAAAAAATTTTCCGGGGGAGCATGCCCCCGTACCCCCCTAGAATCTGGCTTAAACCAAGCAAATTGGCCGCACCAATCACAAAATCGTGACGACGGGCCTGTTTATCCAGTCATAAATATTGTCCACAACCTTTATATAGTGATGGAGGTGCCAAACTTATTAAGGTCACCAATTCTAATCTTCAAATCTTCGTCAGATGTACCTTCTGTAATAGATCTATTGAAAACAGTTACTTGTTTTTTTCAGCTCTATCGATTGACAAGAAAGTCGGAAATTTTGAAGTAGGAAAGGAGTTTGATGCATTGATCATAAATTTAGATATAGAGAACACACATGTTGATGTTTTTGAAGAAGACACCCTTGATGATTGTCTGGACAAATTTTTATATACAGGTACTGAATGGTTACACTTTCCCTCTGTTTTTAAATACGGAACAAAAATTCGTCGCAGATAAACTGGTAGATACTAATCATATTCTGTAATTTTCCATCTCATCTATAGCAGGACATGGGCCCTGCATTGATTGAACTCGTATTTATAGATAAGTGTCACACTGTTCGGTGGATACAGTTAACTAATTGAATGGATGCTGCAACATTTCATTACATAAAGTCAAATACGCATGTATCTATAATACGCTCGTAAAAAATCGGCGTTTTCCGTTAATTTCCGTTGCTTGTTAAATTGACGTTACCGTCTGTGTGAACTATGGCTGCATTTATCACGTCTTTCAACGACGTCTTAATACTTCAATTACACGGAAAGTGACGGAAAAAGTAGATGTATAATTATCGTATAAGTATATACATGTATTTCACATTATATATTACAGGGGACGACCGTAATATAGAAGCAATATATGTTGCCGGGAGAAAAATACTCGATTTTGGTTTAAAGCAAACATCTACGTAGCAAATGGCATTTTCAAACAGGCAAATGTGCAAATACATGTGTAGCAAGACTATCAGTGTCTGTTAAGAACGTGTGTAAAGAATTATGTCACAAGAATGTGTTTGATTTTTTTCTGTGCAATTAATATTATCATGTATATGTTATTCGGATCTGATAAAATGAAAATCAAAATATTTTCATTTAAAGGCCAAATGCCCCATAATTCTATGCTAACTCCTCAGAAGCTTTTTATGTTTGGTGATCTGTTAAAGTGTTCCACAAGTTATTTATTGGCCAATTACTTGAACCAACTTTTGCTTCTGTTGCATTTTGGAAATTAGTGAAGTTATAGTTCTTAAATATTTGTATCGAAGACAAAATACTACATGCACTTAGTTGACATTTTGCTACTTTTATGACAACTAATTTCACATTCAGAGCTTCTATATTTAGGTGATAAGCATCAAACATGCTCTAAACCCACTTTACATTTTTACAAAGACTAGTAAACGTGGCAATTACCGGGATGACAATCTCCCGGAAACAGTTTTGTATTTAATACAGAAAATACCGGTTATGCCCGTTGTCACACGATTAAAATTAATGATAGTGATTATAACAATGCATGTTTGTAGCGCCGCCGTTCAATTGATAATCGTCACGTTTATATAAATTCATATACCGTCCTGCTGAAATTTCTCTTATTTCCTCTTAAAAAGGCAGTTTGCTGTTTTATAATTTCGTTACAAAGATTTTTACAAGTTATATGATCGTATATAAACGGTTGTTAACACTGATTTAGACCGCATGTGAGTGTATCATATTTCAATGTCAAAATCCTACTTAAAGTTCAACCCCTTTTTAATTAAATGTGTTTTCTGTAATTTGATATATATAGGTGATATCTTCTGTTTTTTTTTCTATTTATTTATTTTATTTTAATGGATTGTAAGTTACACTGACTAAGCTTCGATTCGGAATATCTATTTTAAATATGTGTTGTGGGTAATTTTTTTATTGTCTGTACATTTGTATTTTTTCAATTTCAATTATATAGCTTTAACTAATATCAAAATAAAAGTTGTGAAAAAAAAACGTCCCAAATATGCCACCAAATTTAAGTTTATTAAAAAAATCCAATTAAAATGAACTGCTTTTTTCCTAACATGGCGGGCGAAATATCGTTGACGCGAATCGTTATTATCCTTGTTAAGAAAGTTCAGAATATTTAGTTTTACCATATACATGTAGTTTATATAAGCTGATAAAATCAGGTAAATAAATGTTGTATGTTTTATGTTGTTGTTTTACTGATATATGAGATGAGGAACACACATATGGCTGCAAGCGACATTGATGCTCCAGAGGCTAAGAAAGGTGCCGTATAACTCCCGGTGGTGTCGTACAGTAAACCTAAAACAGAACAATATACCATTTAGAAAATAACACACCACAAAACTCGAAACTTCGCAAACCCAACGAATTCAATACGGATTTTAACGAACTTGTCCGAAGTTATGCGATAATTAATGAGAAGCTTAAGGTTTTAGAGACACTTTACACGATTGAAACTCAATGTTACTGTAATAGAAGGCTAAGCTATAAAAGCATATAAAGGTTTACCAGCAAACGGAGGCCCGAGCACCGAACCAATACCACTGGAAAGGGAAATCAACCCTAAAGCTTCGGTTAAACAATCCAGGCCCATAAGGTCCAATAATACCACGGATGTCACTGAAATAGTAAAGCCTGAAATAACCAAGAAAAAATATATGAAAGTTGCAATTGAAATAAAAACTGTTATTCATGTATAGTATTTTAATGGCGGGTTAAAAATCTGCCCGTCTCAGTCGTATTGGGATGGTCTTTAAGTAAAACAACCATCCTTTCGCAAGTCGTATACCGAGAATACAGTGTCAATGCTTAGCTCTTAATTTACAAAATTCATCTCATTTAATTTAATATTGGTCATATGTGGAGAAAAAAATTACTGTGCCTTGCATAAAAACTTCTCACACGTGCAGAAAGTGACAACGAGCCGTCGACCTAATGTAAAATTGTTGTTGTTCGTCATTAAGTAACTTGCTGACTCCACTTTCCGACAATATAAGGCACTTAGCGCTGAGCCGAATAAAAATGTACCCAGACGCTCCATTGGACATGGGCGAATATTTTCTGTATATTTACTCTATTTATATAAAGTGAACTACAATCTTGGTAAAACCTCAAATACCTTTCAAGAACAGTTCGTTAGTTTTTATAATAATGAACGTCTGAAATGTCGCTTTTCATTGGCTAATAGTTACGCTTACATAGTTTTTATATACGTGTACACAGCTTTTGTCAATTTATGAAAAAATCTCACTTTGTTCTCTAAAAAAGGAAAAAAAATGCTGTTTTATAAATTCGTTATACATGTAAATATTCCTGACATGTTATATGGCCGTATATAAGCGGTTGTTTGCAATATAACACTCACCTTGCTGCTCAGGTTACATTTCGAGACAACCGTTTATATAAGGCCATATAACGCGACACAAATCTTTATAATAACATACAAACCTGATGATACCCCGTATACGACACCATACACCATCATTAACCACAGAGAGTTCAGAACTGGACATAATGATGTACTTAAACCAGTAATAAGTAATGTGATCTTAAACATGAGGAACCTGTTGAAATATATAAAGTTCATATTGAGTTATTAGATAGGACATGGTAATTTAAGATC